GGTGAGGGGTAAGGGTAAGGGGTGAGGGGGAGGGGTGAGGTGAGGGTGAGGGGTGAAGGGGGGGTGGGGGGGGGTTGCAAGGAGATATATAGGTGTAAACAAATTTCTTAAACGCTTCCCCAGCTAATGGAAAAACAACACACTGATTGTCGATCTCAGTTAATGGATTCCTTGATATCTTCTCTCAGGGTTGGAGGGACACACCTCCTGCCACACACTCTCCCCTCATAACCCCACATGATCTGTCCAGCTATCCGAAGGTGCAGAAGAAAGTGAGATTTTTCTGAGTTTTTACTTTTTTTTTCTTGCGCCAGACACACACACACACACACACACACACACACACACACACTTTCGAACCTAAAAGATTTATTTCTAAGGTCGAATTTCTTTTCTTTTCTTTTTTTTAGTTTTTATTCTAACATCTTCACTACAGAGTTGGTATTTTTTTTTTTAATATTTTATTTGGTTAACGTCAGATGATTTTATTTAACACAGAAGGCGATCCCATACACGAGTGGTTAAAGAAAGGTTTATATTTTCGTGGTTAAAATAACTTACTTACGTTACTATAAAGTTGAAATAGTCGTGGTTAAAATGATTCACTTCCATGGGTAAATATTTTGCTTTTGTAGCTGAAAAAAAAAAAATTAATACCTGCCATCATTTGAGTTACGGGATTTGTTAATTTACTTCGGGAAAATTTGATGATAAATGATGATAAGACGATGAATAAACACAGTAATAAAAAGTGATAGAAAAAATAATGAAAAAATAAAAAGGAAGAGAGAGAGAGAGAGGGAGGGAGACAGAGAGAGAGAGAGGGAGACACAGATTAAAAGAATGAGAGACAGAAACAGACAGACAGAGACAGACAGACAGACAGACAGACAGACAGACCATGAGACTCACCGGGTCAAAACAAAAGGCTCATGTACTTGTTTGTTCAGAAGAAAATCGTATTACTCTTCCAAGCTGTGATAATAAGAATAGGATAATTATCTTCCTATTATCTCTTAACCTATTGAGTACGATGACTTAAACCCCCTTGAGTACGATGACTTAAACCCCCTTGAGTACGATGACTTAACCCCCTTGAGTACGATGACTTAAACCCCCTTGAGTACGATGACTTAAACCCCCTTGAGTACGATGACTTAACCCCCTTGAGTACGATGACTTAACCCCCTTGAGTACGATGACTTAACCCTTGAGTACGATGACTTAACACCTCGTACTCAAGGGATTAAGTCATTGTATTCAAGGGGGGTTAAGTCATCATACTCAAGGGGTTGTCATCGTACTCGTGTTGTCATCATACTCAAGGGGGTTAAGTCATCGTACTCAATGGGGTTAAGTCATCGTACTCAATGGGGTTAAGTCATCGTACTCAAGGGGGTTAAGTCATCGTACTCAAGGGGGTTAAGCCATCGTACTCAAGAAGTTAATATTTCAGGAGAGGGGAAGAAGGAATGAAATGAAGGAAGGAATGAACGAAGGAAACAAAGTTATAAGCTAATAATAAAAATAAACAACAATGACTAACTAAATCCACTTCAGGTAAATTACTTCTACTTATGGTCATTTATTATGGACTTAACTTTTTAATTAAGGGTTGTGAACTAGAGTGTCAAGTCTTGCTTTTGTTTCAGCTTACTTTAACAAGATATACATAAAAAGCTTACCGAAGTTACCATAAGCTTGAGAGGGTAAGCTTAGTGGTGATGTATACTTGTGGTAGAGTATGTATATATGTATTCTGTATGTATTTTGGTTCTGTATAGTGTTTAGTGTTGATTACTTGGTGGTAATGATAGTATTTTGTTTTTCTGTTTGTCTGTCTGTCTGTCTGTATGTCTGTCTGTTTGTCTCTCTCTCTTTCTCTCTCAAACCAACATGGCAAGAAATAAACTCGGAAGTAATTGCAGCCAAAGTCTTTCTCGACCAGGCACGAAGGACCTCCTCCCCCAAATCCTCGAGAAAGACTTGAAAAACTCAGCCGAGGGAAGAATAGAACCCTGAGGGGCGGGGGAAGGGGGCTGATGGGTCCTCCTCTATCTACCCCTCCCTCTGGGCACCCCTCCACACACACACAATATTGCGTCATTCACTTCGACAAGGTCCAATATTCTCAACCGTCAAGATGTGTCCAAACATACCCGGTCAGATATTCCCCCAAATACACCCGAATATTGCTGTCTTGAGGTCCCCTTCCCCTCTCCTCCATCCTATCCCATCCCATCCCATCCCCCTCCACCACCCCTCCTACCCTCTTCCACCCCTCCCTTCCTCTTCCTCTTTCTCCTCCCTGTCCTTTTCTCGGCGACCGACTCCAGCGGACGTCAGATCCTGTCGGGGATTGAAGAAGATTTTAGGGGGACTTTCTTTGTGGTAAAGTCCCCGAGCTGGTGGTGTGGACGGCGGGGGAGGAGGAGGAGGGAGGGTAGGAAGGAGGATTGTGTATGGTGCAGGAGTGGCTGGACAGGAAGACTTGGAGATT